TATATATATATCCTCTTTTGTGTCTTTGCAAGTTATTACCTCTTTTAAATAAATTGCCGATGTTATAGCAAAGACATTTCCATTTATTTACTGGCAATGCCAAAGCTAATTGTACACTGTGCATCCTAATACACACACAATATTTGACAATCATAAAAGATGCACAGAAACAAAATGCATTTTATTTTTTATATTCAGATACATGTTTAAGATGGTAGACACACTAGCATGTGGGGCATGATAAAAGACAGACTGTGAAAAATGCTTTACAACACGAGCTGCAAAAAAATGAAAACAAGCACTAAGTCTAGTGTAATAAACAACTAAGGCAAGTTTATCATAAACAGTAACTCGGAAATCAACAATGCTGAAACTTATAACAGGTAACTATAATTTTCTGGGTTACTCCAAAGCCTAGATGCTGTTAAAGAAAGAGGTGCTTTGTAAGCGCAATAAAACATATATAAATCCTGTATCTAACTCTTGCATTGTAGTTCTATTTGGAAAGGATGACAAAGTAGATACCATGTTCATAGATTAGTTACTTCCTCACTGCCAGACCACAACTCCTTCCTTTCACATTGATCTAGCAGGCCAGTAGGAAGTAAAGAAATTAGCAAAGCAACACGGGCACATAGCTCCAGCCTCTGTTCCAACAATAGGGAACTTTTAAAGGCTGGACTCAGGAAAAAAAGGCTTCATGCCATAGGTATGGACACAGTCACTATAAAAAGAAAAATACTATTTACAATAGATCTGCAGTGATGTGAGTATTGCTAGCTCTAACATATGTTTAATCATTCAAGTGGTGTGTGTTGCTTTAATTAATAAAGAACAGTTTTAAAAATGTCCATCTGCAGTTGTAGATGTGATTCTTTTTATCTCTCATATAAATTGTAAAATCTCTTCTACTAAAATCGATGAAAAATGGTCTTAGATAATCTGTAAAATATTCTTATTTTAAGAATTTAAGATGAATGCATGTGAGCAAAAAAATTGAGTTATTTTAATTTACAAACACATTTTGGCTAATTCTAAATGTAATTCTTAAGTGAAGGTGTGGCACCGTCCCCAAAATGTTATCCAGGCTGCTATCCAGCAAGTCCAGTGGTTACATAATATAAAAGACAAAGCATTGTTTTTTCTTTTTTTTTCTTTTTAGTAAGCTGATTTATTGTAAAAGAAAGGGAAAGTGTTTTTTCTACTTTTAATCTGTACATATTTGCTATCAATGTTGCATAAGCTATATTTAATACTGTTTACTACAAGAGAACACATGTTACATAAGTTAAGAGCATGCATTCTACCTTAAAAAGAAAAACAAACTTAATCCTTAAATACAAAAGGTGTGAAGATCTGCGGACAAACACTTGCACTGAACGTCTATTATTTATTCTTTTCCAGCTGCTATTATTTCGATGTAAACAACATGTCTGTAATCTTAATGAGATATTAAAACACAGACGGAGAGCTCACAAGAGAGCAAGTCGGATTACTTGATTTGTTGTATTGCTTTCAGTTAAACTAATAATCTATATAAAAAAAAACCTTGATTAAATCAAATCAGGTTATAAGAGCAGAGTCAGGTGTGATCTGATGACCCATTTGTATGGCAAACCAAATTTAAGCATTTAAAAGAGAAAACATTCAGTGTGACACATGCTTTAATTATTCTATGTGGACAGAATAGTGCATGTTTGTGAACAACATAACACTTATAGATCCTTCTGATGCAGGATGCTACCCATTTCTCTCTGAGCTTATACCGGCTAACGACAATGAAATGTTTACCTTTGAATAATGAATGCTGTTAAATATACACAAAGTAGAAAAACGTATATACATTTAGAAGTATTAATATTTGTAATACTCAAAAAAAATGTAATAAATATGATAAGGTGTGAAATCCAAATATGTCAGAAACTGCAGACAAAAAAATCAAGCTTGTGTCCTAAATCATATCTAGTTTTGCATATAGCAGTATGCCTCTATATCTCTGTATGATCAGTCTACTAAAGTGATACCTCTGCTGAACCGCCTAAAAAAATGCAATCAAAGGCTATTTAGAGTTTTTTGTATATGTGCTTTGGTTTGATTAAAATTTATATATTTGTAATTCAGTTATATACACAGCCTTTTAAATGTATTCATACCCAATTTCTTTATATTACATTACAGCCATATGTCTTCATGCATTTTGTGCAACAGACTGAAACAAGGTAAAACAGAATAGACCCTAAATACATAATCAGAATCACAGAGGAATGGTTAATCAAACTATATTAATGTGTAAGGGTGGCCCAGTCAAAGTCCACCCTGAAAGTAATTAATAATCTATTGATCTAAACCCGCTGTTCTCAAACGCTCTGCATACAATCTGACTGGAATTAACCACAGGAAAAGGAATGCAAGCTGCTAGAGACATACCCAGAAAAAAGACTTGCAGCTTCAATTCCAGTGAAACATGGTAAAAAAAAATATCTACGCATAGGAAAATTTCAGATCTTAAAAGTGTTGAAAACTTTTCTCCTTTTCCTTCTGCTTCACAATCCTGCGTCAGTTTGAGCAGCTCTTATGCATAAGAAACAACAAAGTTAGTGGTTTTTAACCAACAGGCTGTGATCATGTTCAAGGAGTATGAATAGTTCCGCAAAAGACTTTATGTATATGAGTTATAATTTCAAATAGTTTTGTAATTATTTGAAATTTAATACATTTAGAGAAAGACATTTTACAAAAAACCGCACTTAAAACGACTTTAACTATACAAACTTTGCCAAAAAAAAAGGGTGATCCCCATTAAAGTCTTAAGTGTTGCCCTCCTAAATGTGTGTGGAGGAAATGATTGTAACAGAGTTGGACAGCAGCTGGACAGGGAGGGGGGGTAGATCAGTTTTAGCTGAGCAGGCATTTCCCAAAGCAGAGAACCCAAATTAAAGCTCTATAAGGCAGTTTCCACTCATTTCAAATAAGTCGCCACAGCTTTTTATGGTTTCATTGCATGGAAAATCCGGTAATAAACGGTTAGAGTTGAACATAAAATAGTTTTTTCCCCCTTTTTAAAATAAAGAATTATCCTGATCAGATCTTTATACTATGGAGTCAAACAATGCGCACAATTATTTAACTCTGTCACCTTTAATTACGGAACAAAAGACTCCAAAAGACTTCCTTATTCATAATTTGGTTTCTTTACTTACAATAACAACGTGCCCCAAACAAGCTTTCAGAACAAAAAACAAGCAAACAAACAATAAAATGATACTTACACTTAAACTTCGATGGCGATCTTAAAGCGGCGCCGTCAGCCGCGCTGAAGCAACAAGTCTCTTGTGTTTGTTTTCTTTCTTTCTCCGAGGTGGTCCGAAAAGGCTCCAACTACAGGGGAGGAAAACAGCAACGTTTCCAGCCGTCATCTTGTCCCAAAAAAACTGCATTACGCCTTTTTTCTGTTTATTTTTATTCGCCCTAAATTCAATAGAGAGCTTTTATTTCCCGCAGTCTGACGAGGAGTAAACGCAACCTGTGGCTTTTATAAGGGGCAGCAGGATCGGCGCTTCTTTACAAAAAATGTGAAAAATGTCAAAGATTTTCGCTGCCGTGTCAACGCCGTGGGCTACAGCAGAGTGTTTAAAGTGAGCAGCGGCCATCTATCCCCACCGAGGAAACAAACGAGCAAACCTCACTTCACTAGATGGGATATTTCCTAAATTCCTGGATAACATTTGAACACACTGTGCAGTCATTCTAAGACATCTAAACTAACCCTGGATAAGAAGTCTACAACCAGTTTGCATACCTGCAACTACATGAAACTTACCTCGTTATTGATATGTCATCTACAAATGTCCCTTTCTTTTGCTAATGTGATGTTAGTGGGGATTTTGAATACTATGTCAAGTTATTCTGGTGTTTATGGGCCGGCCAGGAAAGGTGGAGGTGAATCGCTTCACGCACTGACAGAGATGCGAAGAATGCTCGGAATGAGAGCAGGAATGAAATGAACGCAGGGAACGAGTTTGCGCCTGGGCGGAGCGAGTGGTGGCGTCATCCCGGGCCCGGGGGGCCAGCAGCCAGCCCGGGCAGCAGGCAGCGGCGGCGGCGGAGCGGCAGCAGCGCAGCGGGGACTAGGAGGAGGAGCGCACTGAACATCCCAGGAGCTGATGCCTTCAGGGAAGGAAAATAGACTCGGAATTCTCAGCTTCACTGAATGAAACCAACTCCACGTAAAACACATACTAAGCACAACAAATAAAACACTTTCATCTCATGTCTCACAAACCCGTGCATGATTGAAAAATCACCCATGTATTGCACTCATTTGACCCACTTGGTCCAGACTGTTTCCCACTGATGGGCATTCAACATATTTTCTGAGTAAACTTATACATTTGCCATACAGTTTTATCTGAGCCTTGATTCTCAGTGTGATCCTCCCGGTTGAAATGTAAAATTAAAAAATAAAAAAAAATAAAAAAATAATGAATTAATTAAAAAAAATAAAAAATAAAATGATTAATAATAATGATAATAAATATAAGTACATATTCAAAACCACTAGCTGGCCGCCAAGCCATGCATATATATGCTCAGCTGCTTTGTCAAAAAAAAGCAATTTACCGCTCCAAAACTTTCTGCATAAAAACCATAGACACCAACTCTAAAACAACCTGCACTGCCACTCTAAACATTACATTTGTCAAAAAAAAAAGTCTAAAAAATTATTAAGATTGTAACTCTGATTACTCAGGCTGACTTACAAAAATCAGTTTTCCAATATCAATTTATAAAACCTTTGAATTGATTCTCGTTGTCAATATTTGCAGGGAAACTTTCTGAGACAGTCAAAGAAATCAAAGTTTGCAATGTGCTTGTAGCCACTTTATTTACTCATGCTGCTCTTTTTGTTCAGTAAAATGAAATTAAATTAATATAAATCATTTGCTTTTTTTGGTTTGTTCCTGTTAAATAAAAATTTGATAATTAATGTAACTGCATGTGGTTTTACACTCAACATATGTATAGATATTTATATTTTTACTACTGCACATTAGATTTCCTACCATTGCAGCATCTAGTTATTCTGAGAATGTCTTCCATATTCAAATACAATTAGTACTGCCTGATATCTTTTGATGAATAATAAGACTTTAAGATTTAATTGTAAATCAAACTGAATTGGTCCCTTTTGAATAGAATCAATATGAAAAATCTGAATCAATACACAGCACTACTGATTAGGGCTGAACACTATTTAAATACCCAAGCTTTGAAAATGAAAAAATTATGAATATTTGAAAATTTGTTCCCTTCTTTTCAGAAAGAGTCTAACCCTCAGTGGAAATCTATGATCACCTATTGTTATATCATGGAGTTGTAACTGAACCATATTTTTTTCAGTTGTACCAGAAAAGTTTGAGTAATGTAAAATGTTATTAAGCCTTTTCCAAGTGCCACAAAGAAGATAAAATAAAGATTATGGAATGGTGTTGTGAATGTCCTGGACCTATATCTGATCAGATGCTGTGATCCTAAACAGTTATCTCAAATGTTAAAATTGCAGTTGCTTGTTGCAAAGACTGGGAAATTACTTAAAAGGTAAGGATCAGTTTGGTTTGGTCAGCTTTTTTTCTTTTAATAAATCAAAAAACAATAAAAAATGTATTCTTATTGCAAAATGTATTGTCTTTGAAGCTTGTGTGTAATTTTCACCAACCTCTAATGGTTAGACTACAGATTACAGCAACATGAATCGCTCCCCTCCGTTCTTAAAATGGCTTCTGGAACATCCGCATTGTTTACATAGATCATTTTTTTATAAATTGTATTTTATGATTCTTTATAGGATATAGATTTTATATAGTCCTAACTTGCTACAGTCATACTTGAGCAAAACAGTGATCTCTACAGTTATTATTTTAGCTCTGGGCTACCATAGAGCAATGATGTCTGGCTCCTTAGATCTGAGACCCGCTTCTTAGTAATTATAAACAGTAATTTCTAAGGCAATGCAAACATAAAGATTGAGGCTTTCAGTTTATGGGTGATAATTAATAGCATACTTATGTATAATATATTACATTTTTGTCAGTAAATCTTTTATCTAACCACCGTAGTAATATCAAATTTAATATAATATGTCAGAAAATAGCAACAACAGATATAGATCCATTTTGCATTAAAATAATTAGTAATTTTCTATTTTACACAATGTTGGACTTTTTTTATTAATTGAATTGACAAAAGGCTGTTAAGGAAACAGTTATAAATATTTAAATGAATAATAATAAGTCCCAAATTGTTAAATATATATA